TCTCTGAGGGCCAGGAGCTCCTTGCACCGAATGCACACATACGCCACTCGCCCATGGTGCAGGTAATCATACATGCTACACTCAGTGCAATAAACTGGATAGCCCCCACTCTGCAGCTGGGCTTCTGCCTGCATTGTCTCCTAGTTAATGAAGGGGTTGTTTAAAGCAAGAAGTTTTGAATGTAGTTTGGGCTATAGGTTTTAAGGGGAATAAAGGGTTTAAGATAGAACCGGCAAGGGACCCGCGCTCCCTTCCTGCTCCCCTTGCGAAACTCCCTGTTAGCAGCCCCTGGTCGCAAAAGCTCCCTGGTCGCTTGTGCGCTGTTTTATAAAGCCCTGGCCTGGGTGAATGCCCCGCCCACTGATTAAGGCTCAGCCAATTACCAGAGGCTTCTAGCCTTCAGACCTTCCTTTGAAGCTCACAGCTTCCAACTGCCAGCCACAGCACACGGTCCTTCAAACAACCAACCAAACAAACAGACTTGAAATATGTGACTTCTGTCCTGCAGTCCCTCCAGGAGGCCGCCTGATGGCGAACCCCGCCAAATGTCACCTTGGGAAGAATGAGACCACCTACCTTGGGTACACATTGGGAAAGGGCTTGATCCGACTGGGTTAGCAAAGTTCAGGCCCTTCAGCTATGCCCCACGCCATCCTCAAAGAAGCATGTACACCGATTCCTGGGACTAGCCGGCAGGGCCGGCTCCAGCATTTTTGCCGCCCCAAGCAAAAAAAAAAGCCGCGATCGCAATCGCGACTGGCAGCGGCAATTGGGAAAAAAAAAAAGCCGCGATCGGCGGCGGCAGTTCAGCGGCAGGTCCTTCGCTCCTAGAGGGAGTGAGGGACCTGCCGCCCCCGAATTGCCGCACGTGCTGCCCCTCTCTCTTGGCAGCCCCAAGCACCTGCTTGTTAAGCTGGTGCCTGGAGCCGGCCCTGCTAGCCGGGCATTACTGCCGCTTTATCCCAGGAATCTCCTCCTTTGCGGCCCCCCGTCCGATCTCCTCAAGAACGAGAATCCTAAAAGGATCCAGTAGACCAGAGCCTGTGAGGAGGCGTTTCAAACTCCGAAGGCTCGGCTTTCTCAGGAACCTGTCTTGTACAGCCGTGACTTTGCCAAGGAATTTTTGTTACAAACAGACACCTCAGACATGGGCCTAGAAGCTGTTCAATCGCAGGTAGCTGGGGGCGATGAACACCCCATCCTATATATTACCAGGAAGCTATTCCCGCAAGAGAAGACCTATACTGCCCTGGCAGTAAAATGGGTCATGGATTCACTCCGTTATTATCTTTTGGGTACACACTTCACTCTCGTTACTGACCGTGCCTCTCTCCACTGGCTCCACGCCATGAAGGACACAAATCCCCGAATCATGAGGTGGCACCTTTCCCTCCAACTCTTCTCCTTTCGTATCCAGCATCCTGGCTTCTCACCATTTGAGCTTTTATATGGGAAAGCCCATCTGAATGCAGACTGCTTTTCACGGGATGGTGGAGAGCAGTTGGGGGGGGCAGACACCAAAGGCGGCCATGAGGGGGGGATGCGTGAAGGAACAGAGAGACTGCAGCTGGGCACAGCAGGGGTTAAAAAACGCTGCCGCTGGAGTCAAGTAAATCTTCCCCTGCCAAGGGGAACGTACAGATAAGCCACAACTGTGGGGCAACTGGACTTGCGGGGCCATGCCCCAAACGAAAAGGATTTGCATAGGGAGCAGGCCAGGAAAACAGGCCCTGAACCCCTGCTTACAGCTGGGGAAAAGATCCATCTCCCCTGTTTAGGGTTTGAGCGACTCTGGGCCAGGACCTGAGGGAGAAGGACGGATCAAGTCCCTCTACAGCCCCCCAACCAATGATCTAGCCAGTAGGCTCCCCGGCCATTGAAGGCCCTATCACACGTGTATTCAGTTGATTTTAATATATGTTAATTAAATGTATAGAAAAGATTTTGAAAGGACTATAATCCCAGCATACATTACGTTATGTCAGCGTTTTATACACTTTCTTATAGTGCAACGTGTTGGTAGAGTTGAAGAATATTTTTATGGACAGAGTTTGAATGAATGATCTCTTTGGTGTCATGAAATGGGTTGATTACATGGTGTTATACATATATGTAAATTTATGCAGTTTGCATGTTTAACTATATGAACTATACTTTGTAGCATCTAATGTGTATAAGATAGGATCGATTCTCCCTCAGAGCCACGCATGCTGGGGAATCTTTGCATGTGGCTGTCCCAGCTCCTGCGCAGAAGAGGAGGCTGGCCTCCTCCTTGGCATCATCCTCCCTCCTTCAGACCCCACAGAGAGTACTCCAGGTCCAGGGTCATGCTGAGGCATTTATTGGAGACTGGGTGGATTGCAGGCAGGAGTGAGTGCGTTGGGTGTATATATAGCATTCTCTCTCCAGCCTCTTAGTGATTTCTGGGCCTTTATATTATTTTTTCAGTGGCCATCCCCCTGAGGGTCCTGAGGACAGCTGTAGTTACGGGGAGTATAGAACAACATTGTGAGGGATTGGATGGGGCTCCCAGAGATCACAGCAACTGAGACAGGATTTGGATCTGGTTTCTTGAGGGTCCCTGGACACCCATAGGGTTTCTGGGTGGTTCCTGCAGCCTATTTCAGGGGGTTGGGTAAACCCCAAGCTCCTGAGTGAACAACTAAAGAGGACCTGTGATTTTCTCCCAGACCTCCCCTTGTAAAGTTTTCCATGAGAGATAGTCATCTTTTTGTGTACAGTAATGTTGCAGTATATATTAGTGTGACATCAGATTTGGATCCCTGGGCTAAGAAATGGTACTTTTTAATCTAGCAGTGCCACTTTGAACTTTGCACTTATTTTTACAGATTTTATAGGGCAAAGTTCAGGTTCTGTAGGAGGTGCTAATTGGATAGGATGATAGTGTGCGGTGAAGGATTTTATGGCACTAGGGCAATGACTGGATCCCTTTAGTTTCCAGACTTTTAAAGCTAGCTTCATCCTTACCCATGGAACAGTTCACATGTATTCGGAGAGAAAGAATGCATGAAGATGTCTCAAAGACACTGGGATAAATCCCTATGCTTACAAAGAGTGCCATGAGATCTTTAATGAGCATGCAGAGAAGACAAGATTTTGTTAATCTGAAAGATCAATTACTGTCTAGAATTCAGTTCTTCTCCCTCAGACGATGATGAGCTGCAGCACCCCTGCTAAGTTTCAAATCTGTAATTCTGGGGAATTATTTTATTTTAAACTTGATATTTAGACCACAATGCCACTACCTCCTGCTGAATATCAGCATATAGCTCTATTTCTAACTTGTCACCTTTTAATATCTGGACAACACCAAAGATCCCAAAAGATGATGCTACAAAGAGGACAGAGTGCATGCTAGTAATAGTTCCACCAGACTGATTCATGGGATCTTTATCCCAAAACTATGCAGTAGGAAACTGACGTTAATTCTTTGATCGTGTAAATTGGGCTTTGGTGTTCACATAGGGCACAGTGGAATTGCAGATTTGCTGGAATGGCTCAAAGGAAATGAAATCACCTTCCCATCAATGAAGCTCTAACGTCATCTGTCCAATGCCTATTCAACAAGAAATGCCAACGCAATATGTAGAGTAATAGACTGACCAGTATTGGCCCCAAAGTATTATCGGCTAAGCAAATTCCTAAAAAAAAAAATTCTGAATTTGCTTTTGGTGTGTTCACAACCCTTCTGGGACTACTTGTGCTTAAAGTAAAGCATGTGCTTAGTGTTTCCTGGATCAGAGACTTTCTGTAAATATTCTAGTGAATAAGTTACTGGAAGGCTAAAGAAGAGGAAGTCTCTGATGATGTCTGGGATACAATTAAAGACTTCTGTCTTTGGAATCTTCTAATTAATGGCATCAAGGCGATGATGAAGTAACAGCAGGATGCAGTTTTTAGCATCTTCCAAACTAGGAAGAGAATGGGAATGCGGGTTCTACAAAGGTCATTGAGTGGAAACTGCCAAGTTTGGGCAGCTAGAATTAAGATTCAAGTAACAGAAGTTGTGTTTTGCCTTCAGCTCAAATATGAAGCAGTAGAGGCTGTTTTTTGAACCTGCTGCTAGGAGGTAGTGGACAACAGAATCCAGGACAGTAGTATTACCTATGAATCCATGAGATCCAGGGAAGGGGGACATTTTACCCTATGTGAGACTGTTGAAATTAGGTCTGCGAAGAAAGATAACAGCTGTAGTGAACAGTACACTTGAGGCATCTTGAAGTGGTGTGTTTGCAGTTGAAGACGATTGTTGCAATCTTTAGAGACAAAATTAAGTTTGCGTATTGTTAACATTTAATGTTAGTGTACTGACTCCTGAATCTGTGTTGTCCCTTGCTGCTGTTATTGGGTTTTAAATATTACTCCATTTAAATGTATTTATAATATCTATACATTCATCTTTTGGTTCAGCCAGCCCTTGTGAATTGTTACCTACAGTGAAAGACCCTCTAAAGGTAGAGTGGCCTAAACGCATCAGCCCTTCAATTAAATTACAGACTAACAAAAAAATCCCCGGGAGCAGGAAATTTCCACTTGTCTCTGCAGAGCTAGAAGTGAAGGGTGAAGGGGGCAGAACTGAAGAAGACTTTGTCCAGTTTTACAAGCCCCCTTTGCTGACCCTGGCGCTGGAGGAGGTGATGGGCGGGGGATTTCCTTCCCAGGGGGGCTGGGGGCTGCTGTCTCGGGGGTGTCTGTGGGAGGAGCGGGCTGGGTGGCACGGGAGGGGGGGGGCTCCAGGGCTGGCTCAGGCTCAGGCCTGGCCCCTTGAGGCGCAGCAGGCTCCGGGGAGAAGAGCCGCTAGGGCGGGGCGGCTGCCAGAGGGCGGCGCTCGCCGGAGGGAAGGGCTCGCTCGGGCCAGAGCCGCGTGCAGAGGCGCCGGCAGGGGTCGCTGTGGAGAGCGCGGCGGGCTCGGTCCAGCGCTGGGTTTGTCCCCGGCCGGCCCCCGTCACTTGTAGTCCCGGCCGGCGCTCGCTCCGCGGTTCGGCATGGCGGCGGAGCAGCCCCAGCCCGAGGGCTCCAAGGCGCTGAGCGGGTTGCTGAGCGGCATCGCGCAGGCCGCGTACTACGGCCACGCGGGCATCAGCGAGGAGCTGCTGCGGGGCCAGCTCTACCCCGAGGCGGCACCGCACGAGTTCCGGGCCCTGCTCGCCAAGATGAGCGGCGTCCTCAAGGTAGCAGCGCCCGCGGCCGGACAGACGGGCTGGGGCTGGGACGGACACGCGGGGCCGGGGGGGTGTCGGGACGGACAGTTGATGTCACCGCTTACGGGCACGACACGGGGAAGGCCTCATGGGTTAAACAAACCCAACTCCTCAGTCTCCTCTTGAAAGTGCCCCGTGAGCAGCCGTGTGACCGAGCAGAGTCTAGGGTTGCCCCGAGGCAATTGGGAGATGGGCCCTGACACCTCAGAAGAGCAGCGGGGTGGGCGCCTGCCCGTTGGCTTAACAAATAAAAACGCCCCTGCTCCCGTAGGTCTGTTCTTCTGCCATGCGGCAGTTTCAACCGTCCATAGGAGCTGCCCCCGAGATTTGGGACCAGTGGGTGGGTAAAGCCATGGGACGTGGCTGGCGTGGCGTGCGGTTATTAGTGTCTCCAAGATGGAAGAAGGCTACGTTTTCTTTTAAATGTTCTGCTGGTTTGACTAGCCACTGACTAGACATAACTGGGGCCCTACCAAATTCATGGTCCATTTTGGTCCATTTCATGGTAATAGGATTTTTTAAATAGTCAATTTCATGGTTTCATCTGAAAGTGGCTAGTGTTGTAACGGGGGGGGGGGGTCCTGACCCAACAGGGGGCTGTGGTGGGCAGTGGGATTGCCACCCTTACTTCTGTGCGGCTGCTGGCAGGGGCGCTGTCTTCAGAGTTGGGTGACCAGAGAGCAGCAACAGCTGCTGGCCAGGTGTCCAGCTCTGAAGTCAGTGTCGCCGCCTGCGGCAGCTCAGAAGTGAGGGTCGCAAGGTATTGTGGGGGTCATCGCTGGGGGGGGGGGGGCAGGGCCAGTTTTATGGGTGGGTGACTGCCTAGGGCTCCATGGTCAGGGAGGTGTCCTCATCAAATCCTCCCTCCCCTCCAAGCCATCCCAAGGCCCCTTTAACCTCTGAGTGCTGGAGCTGGGGAGGGGCACCCCAGACCGTGCACTGGGCTCCAGCTGTTAGTCCTGGCTTGGCTGGGGAAGGACAGGACCTCCTCTTCCCCTGCACGGGCCACTCCAGGGGCCAGCTCAGACTAGGGTGACCAGATGTCCCGATTTTATAGGGACAGTCCCGATTTTTGGGTATTTTTCTTATATAGGCTCCTATTACCCCCCACCCCCTGTCCCGATTTTTCACACTTGCTGTCTGGTCACCTTAGCTCAGACCCATCTCCGGGAACCTCCCCTAGCTGCAGGAAGGTCCATGGCTGCACTGCCTGCAGAGCCTAGCTCTGAAGGCAATGCAGAAGTAAGGGTGTACCACCCTGCAGGAGAAGAGGAAGTCCTGTCCCTCCCCAGCCCATCTGGGAATAGCATCTGGAACCCGATGCATGGTGGGAGACCCCCTAACCTACAATAGCTGGATTTCACAGAGGAGATCAGATTTCATGGTCCATTATGCGTTTTTTAATGGCTGTGAATTTGGTAGGGCCTTAGAATAACACACAGTAGTAGCAAGAGCTTCCCCCGTGGTGTCCCAGTCATGTTTCTCAGCCCTGATGGGAGGGACCATTTCAAGGGGTGATAGGGTAGCTCAGTTTCTAAACTAATTTGTTCTTTGATGTCTCAGTTGAGAGTGCCAGCAGAATAACCAACTGGTGGTGGTTTTGTGATGTGAACAGCTGTCCATTGGACTGTGCACTGAGGCCACCAAACCATTTTACATAGACATGAAAACAGGTATCACATGGAGTGAACGTTAGTTGTTACCAGTCTAAGGCCATGTTCTGCAATCAGACCCTCTTACCTACATGGAGATATCAGCACAGATGCAATTGTAGGGTTAGGTATTGCACTTGGATGTGAATGTGTGATTTAGAAGTTAAAGGCTCTATCGCATTTCCAATTTCTGAAAAATCTGGTTCTCCCCAAGACAATATTTCTTACACTGAATTTAACTATCCATTATATGAGTGACCATATTGCCTAAATCAGTGTATCTAGCCAGTCACTCAGTCAAACAAATAACGGTGAACGCACATATTGCAAAGCGGAAGAGTTTTTAGGATACTCTCTGCTCTGTGGTGTTATTGCAACATTTAATAGGAGCAGGTTGGAGTTGGCTGCAGCTGAGTGTCTTTATACTTTGGCACGTCAAAGGAACAGGAAAATGCTGGCAGAGGGCATTTGTACCCTGATAACCTATTGACACAATGTCTCTGTGCTGCAGGTAGGGAAAATGGAACTGATCAACCTCTATAAAAATGTCAAATTACTACCTGAAGTCACTGTACATCTCGCTATACAGAAATGAGTTACATCTGTCAGCGTAGTTCAGCGGATAGGAAACTGGAATGTGACTTTGGAGACTGGAGTTCTATTTCCAGATCATCTAAATTGAAGTTACTTGCCCAAAATCAAACAGTACCTGTTTGTCTTTCTGTTTCCCCTCTCACCCTATATCTATCTTATTTATTTAGAGTGTGAGCTCTTTTCAGGGCAGAGACTGGCTTCTGCTGTGTGTTTGACCAGTGCCTTGTGCAATGGTGCACTGATCTCATTGAGGGACCTTAGGCACTACTGTGATGCAGATAATAACAACACATACAAAATAATAGACTTTTAAAATGATTAATATATGAAATGCATAGGACAAAGTGCAGTTTTCTTTTGTATCATTTAAAAAACATGAAAAGTAACTAGTATGTACTCCTTGATTTGTTTGAATAATTATTGTAATAAGCATGCCTGCTGTGAATAATTCATTCCCAACATAAACTGGGTAGGAAATAAGATATTTTATTTACCCTGCAAACAGATTTTCATTGGGTATCTCTAGTAGAGGAGGAAAACCTTCATCTGGCATTGGAAGTAGAAATGTTTCTTAGGAATGTATTTTTTTAATCTCTAGGTCCTACTAGGTCTAGATCCTACTAAGAAGTTATAGTTATTAGCAGACTGCAGCGGACAGTGATGCTTTGCTTAAGACTGTAATTAAGAGGTATACAATAATCAGCCCATTGGTTCTATCTTCATTTGGCCCAGATGGCTAAATCATTGCTGCCACCTAGTGGGGAAAGTGTTAGATTTCTCAAATTATATTTTTAGGGATTTTTATTAGTACTAATGGCTTTTTGGGATACTCGTATCCAAATGCATTTAAAAACATTAGTTGGCTTGCATACTGTAAACAGTGTTGTGCAATGAATGTTTCTATTGTACTTTTTCCCCAAACACATTTTTTATTTTTATGTTTTGTATAAATACAAAACAAACGCGTTGTACCCTATATTTGTACCATCACAATGTGTCACTTTATTAGATGCTACTTATATTATTCAAATTGACTAAACCATTCTTCAACATTGCTTGTTGTTCAAATTATTGTCTTTCTGAACAGTAGTTGTGGTTCTTGTGGAGTATTTGGAACTGCTATATGTGACTTCTTATGGACCAAAAACTAGCAGGGAAGAATAAATGTAAATGTCTTTATAGAATTTTTTTTTTTTGTTTCTGATTGAAATTTCAAGTAGGCATTGTCCAAAAAGATGCTATAAATGGCATCATCTTCTTGTTCCATGTTTTGCTATCAGTTACTTCTGAAATGAAATATCGTCAGTTTACTAGTGAAAACAATAACTTGGTTTCTGTATATGGATACGCGCAACTGAGTATCTTAAATATGAGCTGTTGCTTCAAATCCTATGCCACCCATATCCTAATGGCTGAAATCACCAGCTGCAGTGTCTGCCTGTTCTTCCATGACTATTTTGGCCCTGCAATGCAAATCATAGCAAACTTTGTTTTTGTCAGTAAACTAAGGAGTTATGTACACTTTTGCCAAATAGTGTTCACATTTAAATAACACTTTAAACTGAGAGTCATGCTCTGTCTACGGAACTAAGAACCAAAAGTCTTGCGTTCTAATTCCAGCTACTGATTCCCTCGGTGGCCTGTGGCAAGTTTACCTTTCTATCTTAGTTTCCCTTTATATAAAATGGGGCTATTACCTCCCTCACATGACCTTTGAGGATTAAGGACCTGTCCCTTTAGGTCTTTTCTCACATGCACAAACCTTATTAATTTCCCACTACTCATGATTCCTGATAGTGTTTGCAGCACTAGGCTATAATTTTGTAAACCTCTTTGCAGATAAAAACACTATTTATGCTATTTTTTCTGTTTTTGTGGCAGTGAGTAATTTTTGGGATGACCTGGTTATATGTTCCCCTCTCTTCCTTCCCTCGCAAATTGTAAATATGGTTTATTGTTATCACATTAATTCTTCCCATTCTGTATTTTTGTTTCTGACATCACATTCTGCTGCAATCAGGATTTTTTAATGGCCTATATTTTGACTGATGGTTCTTGTTCAATTCTTGATTTGTTTTACTTTGATTCTGTGTCTCTGGTTCTGGGTGTGTCCAGTGTACTGTGTATGAGAGCGAGTCTACACTACCGGGCTACATCGGTCCAGCTGCACCGCGTCTGATGAAGACGTACATAGCACTGTTGTGGACAGTACTTAAGTTGATGTAACTTACGTCGCTCAAGGGGGTGTCTTTTTCACACCTCTGAGCGATGTAAGTTACATCAACTTAAGAGGTAGCATAGCCCAGCCTTCAGGGTAGTGAAGATTCGCTAAGTCAACTGCAGATCGCTCTCCTGTCGACTCCGGTACTCCACCGGAACGAGAAGCGTAAGGTAGGTCAACAGGAGGGTTTCTGCCATGGACCCAGCATGGTCTAGACACTGCAATAAGTTGACTTAAGCTACATCGACTCCAGCTACATTATTCACGTAGCTGGAATTGCGTAACTTCGGTCGACTTAACCCCATAGTGTAGACCTGCTCTGAGATTCTTTTCTTGTGTCTGGTCCTTTAAGTCTTGTTTTCAATCTTTCATTGGGCCCCTTTCTCATGTCTCCTCTTTTTCTTTTTTTTCCTCTCTTTCCTTTTTGTGACTTTTTATACTTCCACTTTTTAATCTGAGTGCCATGGTAGGAAAAAAAGAAAAGAAAAGAAAAAGCTGGAAGT